TTCACAGACCCGCGCTCAATCCACTGAGTTACACCAGCCAGGGCGAACACTTAGAATTTTACTAAGCACTGTTCTAAGTGCTTTATATATTTTAATTAACTTAATCCTTACAATAATAGTATGAGGTAAGTAGTATTCACTTCCACTCTACACAGGGCAAAATGAGACACAGAAAGGTTGAGTAACCCGTTTAAGTGTTCACAGCTGGCAAATGGCTCATAGGAAGAACAAAGACTCCTGAGAGTCACCCACCCTTGAGTCTTCCGTCTTCCTCACTTCCCCACATCTGCTCACTCGCTAATGCCTGGACATTTTACTTCCTGAATGTAGTACTCTATTGTCCTTACTCCTATCTTTATAATTACCACTCTATTTCAAACCAGCTTTTCTCTTGCCTGGACAATTGTTAAGTTTCTTTTAAAAAAACTTTCTATTATAGCTCTGGCTGGTGTGGCTCAGTGGATTCAGCGCTGGCCTGAGAACCAAAGGGTCGCTGGTTCAATTTCCAGTCAGGGCACGTGCCTGGGTTATGGGCCAGGTCCCCATTTGGGAGTGTGAGAGAGGCAACTAATCCAGGTTTCTCTCCCTCTCTTTCTCCCTTCCTTCCCCTCTCTCTACAAATAAGTAAATAAAATCTTTAAAAATAAAAACAAAAAGACGATCTAACCAACTGAGCTACCTGGCCAGGCAGGCCCATGACTATTCTGTTACTATCAATTTCTTAATCCCTCCATTTTATTTCACCCAACCCCCCTCCCATCTGTCAGCCATCAGATTTTTCCCTGTATCTATGAATCTGTTTCTGTTCTTCCTGTTCATTCATCTTGTATCTTAGCTTCAACTATTGATAGATATCTATTTATTGCTATTTTACTGTTCATATTTTTTTAAGTTTTTTTCTTTATTTCTCTTTAGAAGGGAAGGGGAGAGGGAAATATCAATGTATGGTTGCTTCTCATGCATCCCCTGCTGGGAACTGGCCTTCAACCAAGCATGTGCCCTGACGGAATCGAACCGCGATTCCCTGGTTCACAAGCCCGTGCTCAATCCACTGAGCTATACCAGCCAGGGCACGTTCATATTTTTTAAAGATTTTATTTTAGAGGGGAAGGGAGGGAGAGAGAGAGGGAGATAGACATCAGTGTGAGAGAGAAACATCAGTTGGTTTGCCTTTCGTGTGTGCCCTACCTGAGCACCAAACCCACAACCGAGGCATGTGTTGTGACTGGGAGTCAAACCCAGAACCTTTCGGTCTGCGGGACAAGGCTCCGAACAATGGAGCCGCACTCGCTGCAACTTTACCCCCCACTCTCTGAAGCTGCATCATTTTGAAACAAATCTCAGCATATCAGTGCATCTATAAATAATTCAGTATGCATCTCTAAAAGATCACTTTTATTTTATTATTATTTTTTTAATCCTCACCAAGGACATTTTTTTCCCATTGCTTTTAGAGAGACAGCAAGGGAGGGGAAGAGAGAGAGAGAAAACATATCAATGTGAGAGAAAAACATGGATCAGTGGGCTTCCGTATGCACCCCAACTGGAGATTGAACCTACAAACGAGGTAAGTGTCCTGACCAGGAATTGAACCAGCGACCCTTTGGTCTATGGGATTGTGATGCTCCAACCAACTGATCCACACCAGCCAGGCCGCTAAAAGGTAACTTATAAAGAACGTAACCAAGATAACATTATTAACATTATGCAGTAGCTGTATCTCTTTAAATCACCTCTGTAGTCAGGGCTTGCGTTAGGTATCTGTTGCTGTGTAACTTAGTGGGTTTAGAAAACAATGAACATGTGTTGTGGCTCACAGTTTCCATGGGCCTGGAAATGGGGAGCATTTTAGCTAGGCTGCCCTGCTCAGTGTCTCACGAGACTGCAGTCACCTGAAAGCTTGATCTACTTTCCAGGTGGCTCATTTTACCCTGGCTGGCAAGTCCGTGCTGGCTTTTGGGACGTGGGGGCCTCGGATGCTCTCGGCAAGCACTCTGCACAGGGCATCTGAAGGGCTTCAGAGCCTGAGCCTGGTTTCCCCCAGAGCGAGTGAACCAGGAAGACAAGGAGGAAGCTGCAATGCCCTTTTCATGACTGACCTGGCTTCTAAAGTCGCACACAGTATTTATTTCCTCAGTCCTACATGCCAGCCTGTGAGGGGGTGTGAATGCCGAGGCCTGAGCCTTCGGGGCCTATGCTGAAGAGTGGTTACCACAGATTCAGATGGCTCCATCTCTCTCTCTCTCCTCTCTCCAGTTTGTTTACTTGAATCAGGATCCAAACAAGGTCTGCATCGATGCATTTTGTTGATACAGTTAACTCCTAAGTCTGAAACTCTAGAGTCCCTTTCCTGTTTTGATTTTGTTCTTATTTCTTTGTCCCTCCCCCACTTTTTTTTTTTTTTTTAAGAAATCAAGTTGTTTGTCCTTAGAGTTTTACTGGATTTCGCTGTTTGCATCCTCATGATGTGATTTAACATTGTTCTTCAGTCCCTGTCCTTCCCGTAAACTGGTCCTTAGACCCGTAACTTAAAATGTCATTGGTGGTATTTACTTCCACCAGCAGGCACATGTCCGGTCGCCTCTATCACTGTGATGTTGGCTGCTCCTGACTGTCATTGCCTACGCTCACTATGTCATCCAAACTTTACAAAATAGCTTCTTCATCTATCAGCTGGACTGTTTTTATAGAAAGAAACTTTCACTTACTTTTTGATTGTACAGTTAATACAGAAAAGTACAGTTAATACAGAAAAGGAAGGCTAAATGCTTATTTCCCTTTATCAACAAATACTCAGAAGTGACCAGTTTATTGCATCCTCCAGAGCTGATGGGTAAGATATTTTTAAAACAGCATCATGAATTTAAAAATATTTGATTTCAATCCGTTGCACTTAGACTTCTTGTAGTGCTGAAAAATCCCATCTCCAGCCAGTGGGAGCCTCTTTAGGTCAGCCTCTGAGTCCTTGTGGATTAACTAGTCTGCTTTGATTGGTTCATCTTGTATGTTTCCTGTGCCAGCTTTTAAGGACCATTTATCCCAGGAGCTCTGGTTCCTTTTAGTGGGTAGTGAGAGAGACCACAGTTTGGGCATTAAGAGTATAATTGCCTTCCAACTGGCTCCTTCCCCAGGTTATTCTCCAGTCACCTGATGTGAAGTGCAGATCTGACCACTCACTCCCTTGCCCAATGCCCTTCAGTGCGGTTTCCCTCAAGACAAAGCCAGCACCTCAGCATGGAAAACAGGCTCAGCTTGTTTTATTGAGCTTCACAGAAGCTGTTTGTCATTGTTTTTTTAAAAATATCAACTCAAAGGCAAGACCCTCCATCAGCAACAAGATTACAACTCACTTCATTGTGATACTTGCTGTATTGTGGTCATCCGGGAAAATCCCTCGGCGCCCCTGACTGTGCCGTGGGGGCCCTCAGCTCACCCCTCCCTCCCATTGCCTACCCGTCTTCTCAAACTTGACAACCCAGCAAAACCTTCTTTTGCCACCCTAGCACCCTCTGAACCATGCTGCTGTGCCTTTTCATACTGATTCTTTGGCCTGGAAATACCATCACCTGTTTCACTTTGACTCAGTCTTTGAGATTGAGCCCTATTGAGCACAGCTGTCATCTCCAAAACTCTCTTCCCTGAACCACCAGATCAGGCTAAATGTCTTGCACGGTTGTCTCGTGGCCCACCACGCTTGCCCATGTAAGCACACAGCGCCTTCCTGCAGCTCTCCTGCCCTCGGCTGTAACTAAGGTGCCCGTCTATCCCCAGCGTGGAGATGCCCCATCTGATAAGCTGCTGAGACAGGACTCTTTTCGCCCAACTCAAGAGGTCCTTCCACTTCAGCACCAATGCTTCCTCACTCTAACTCAGGTCTGCAGGTCTGCTCTGCCTGGAGTTTTATGAATCCCTTCTGCTTAACAATTGGTGGGCTTGTTGGGGAAAACACTAAAAGGTTGCAGATTGGTGGTGGGGAGATTTTGCCCAAACCAGCTCACACAGCCCCCTCCTCCTGGGTGGGAACTGGAGCCAAAATGTAGGGCAGGACAGCACCCACCTCAGCGTTGCCCAAGTGATGAGCTGGAGCTCGACAGGGCGCCTGGGTTCTTCCCAGACATGCAGCTGCCGCTGCCTGCTGGCGTGACTCTGGAAGCTACTGACCCTATGTAGTAAATACCACTTTCTTAGGCTATTGGGAATATTAAAACCTGCAAAGCACTTTTGTGTAGTGCCTGGTATGTTGTGAACACTATGTTGCACCTTTGTCTTACCCTCCACCTCAAACAGAAGGCAGTACGAGGCTAAAACTAGTTCTTGTTTTAAAGAACCTGACGTTTCTGAGGCAGGAGAGTGAGAAAAGATGCTTTAGGCACACCTTCTAAGTTGGGGAAAGTGGTGATCCTCAGCTGGGATGGGGGCATGCACAGTCTAAAGACGTTTGTCAACTGGAAGTAACCTAGGTGACCGGTCAGGTAACAGCCAAACCCTAACAGGAAGCTCTGTGGCCACAGCAAACATGACAAGCAGAGGGCAATTGTGCCAAAACAGAAGAGCCAGGTTGCAACCCAAACCCTGGTTTATAATCTCATCCATCAACAAGGCTGCTCTTTGCAGAGGATTCCTACCACCTACAATGGAGCCTGGCCACAACAGCCCCACCAAATGAGTGGGTTGTACCTTTTTTCCATTATACACCCCCAAACTCCAGAGCCTACTTGTACACTGGAACCAAGTACACGTGCTGTTACCACAACCCACCTACAATAAAGGCTGGGAAGGGGGAGGCCCAGAAAAAGGCCCAGGGCGTGTATCAGACAGAAAAAAATTCCCAACCTTGGCGGCAAGCTGGGGCTACAGAAAGCGTGCCTACGTGGGGTGCCTGCTTCTTCCTACTCACACCCAGAGCACAGAATCTCATCCCACTCAGCTTCTGTTACGAAGCCCCTCAAACCCCACCATGTGCAGCTATAGCCTTGAATTTGAAATACGATGACACCAGGAAAGGTTAAGGAATTTTCTTTATTATTATTATTATTTTTTTTACAAATTAAGACTATGTAGATTTCATATATTTCTGATCAAAAACACCTTCTTCTTCACAGTATGTTAGAGAACGCAGCCTGAGCTTAAAAGCAGGGAACTAGAAAAGAAAGTGATAATTACAGTGATTACTGTTTTAAAAACCTGTTAGACATTTTCTTTAAAAGTAATTTTTTTGTATCTCATCATTCTTGGCACTGTTTCTAAAGAAAAACTCCTTTAACCCAAGCAAAAAAAAAAAAAGCACAAGAGGTGGAGTTTGGCTTCGAGAGATGGAACTGGGATTCCCAGGCCTAACAAAGAATCAACAAACGCAGGGCATTGTAAAGGGGGGTGTTAGTGGGAAGGGGGTCCTAGCACGTTTTCAAGCCAGAAGCTGGAGGCAGCAGCTCAGAGGGCAGCACCTCTGGGGCAGTGAGCCATCCAGGTGGCACACCACTCAGGAACCACAACCTGGGAACAAATCTTTTCCCGAGATGGTGCACTGCAAATCAGTAGTCACTGGGTCAAACTGTGTGCTGGGTGCAAACAGGCAGAGCCAAAAACGGTGTCCTATGGGCAGTACCCTTTCCGTGGCTGTCCCCCCTTCACTGCAGCCCTGTGAGTAGCCAGAGCCACAGGTGCTACCAAGCACCATCCATCTGGGCCAGCTGACTGTGCAGCCCATGGAGGAGCTGGTGGTCCCCACCAGCACTACTCTCCCTCCATTTGCAACCACAAAGCTGCAGAGAATTCGGTATCTTGCAGGCTTGGTCACCTGGACCCTGCCAGGAAGGCTGCAGAATTACAGAGAACAGGTGTAGAGCCAAAACTAAAATGCATGTATAAAATAAACATTTATTTCCTGCCCCAAGTTTCAGGCTTGACAATAACTACTATCAGGAAGGACATTACCAGATGGGAGATAACAAAAATGCACCAAAGGACAGGTGTGAATGCTGCCCCACAAGCCATCACAGCCCCGTACTGTTGATCTGAACAAAGAACCACTCAGTAGAGATTTTGTCCCAACAAGTTTGTCTGGCAGGATTAGTTACAATTACCAGTCAGAGGCTTGGCCATTCTCTTCCCCTGATCTTCCTCTCCGGGATGTTTAATCACAGCCACCTGGTAGGGGCCACTCAGTAACTTAGGTGATAACCAATAAAAAATAAAGACATGGGGAAATCTGGGAATTCTAGGCTCTACCATGCCATACACCATCAGCCTTTTTTTTTTTTAAGTGCCAACAAGAATTAGTCTTCCCTTTGGGCTGAACCACTCCCACCCCAGGGATGGCAGGCAGGCGGATTCCGTGAGGGTCAGACACGAGACAGGAAAGAGTAGGGAGGAGAACACATACAGATCCACATTCCTTTTGTGATGGCGAAGCAGACAGTGTTTGTCAGACTAGCAGCCACTTGGGCAGCTCGGAAGCAAAGCGCCCACCAGAAGAGGCTCTTCCTTTCCTCTGTGGGGCTGACAGCTCAGACAGACTAAGCCTGCATAACGACAGGACCAGCAAACTTCTTTCCAAAGGAAAACACCGCCTGCGCCGCAGGGACTGTGCACCGACCAACCAGCACCGAGGAAGGGCCGAGGCGCCTCTACCCAGCAATGCAGATCCACCCGGCGCAGCCTGGTCCCAAAGCAGCCTCCTGGCGTCGTCTCCCTGTGCGGCCTCACTCATCACGATGGACTGGCTGCCTCAGCAGAGAAAGAAGCTAGGGATGGGGATGAGAGAAAAGAATGGGGAAGAACTCTAGGAATACGAAGCCAAACTCCAAACTTGTTCTGCTAATCAGTTTTTTGATCAAAAAATTCAAAATAGAGAAAACCACAAAGTACAAAAGCTTTTCTGATGCTTTTCATTATCAGAGATCACACCACGTGTAATGTGTGCAGAGAGAAAAGGAGGGGGTGGAGGGAGAGGAAGCCGAACGGAAAAGGCTGGGTGGTCATTTTACTTCTTCTCTTTCTTCTGGTCCTGGAAATGGAGAAAAATTACCCAATTAATTTTTGGCATCAGACATTCAACTAAAACTCAAGTGAGCCAACACCTGGCTGCCTTTCATTAGGACTGGACGGGGTCAGGACAGTAACAGGAAGAAATGCTCCTCTCGTGCAGCAGGAACTGAACCCTGACCACCTCCCACGGGTGGCCTCCAAGTTGCCGACAGACTTGAGAATTAACTTCAAGTAACTGTCCCACCCCCACTCCAAGAGCACCCAGGCGGGATGCCCGACCACCCTTGGCTACTCACAACCACTGCAGCCCAGCCACTGAAAGCTTCTGTCTGGCAGTCTACCCTAAAATAACTAAACAAAAGGTCAAGGCCAAGGCCAAGGCAACTAACTTTCCATCAGGCCTCGGAAGGAAGCATAGCTGTGCATAAACCAATGTTCAGAAACATTCCAACCCTAGGGGAACCCTTCAGTCCATCTCAGGTGGAAGCCCAGTGTATCTAACAAGTGAAAGTTGAGTTGCTTTCACTGAACTGGGACACCTGTTTGGTGCTCAGTCCAGTTGTGGCACAGACCAGAGAGCCACCAAACCCACCTAGTCACCTGCTTCTACCACCACTGCACGGAGTCTTGCTCCATAGTAAGGACTGTAAGAAAAGCTGCTGGGTTCATCTGTTCCCCTGCTGCGGAGTGGACTAAGTGTGACACTCACTAACCATACACAGAGAAGGCTTCTCTGGGGTGGGGGGAGTAAGACCAACTAAGGGCCCTGGCTGGTGTGGCTCAGTGGACTGAGTGCTGGCCTGTGAACCAAAGGGTCATTGGTTCGATTCCCAGTCAGGGCACATGCCTGGGTTGCAGGCCAGGTCCCCAGTAGAGGGTGCTCAAGAGGCAACCACACATTGATGTTTTGGTTTTTCTCCCTCCCTTCTCCTCTCTAAAAAAGAAATAAAGTCTTAAAAAAAAAAAAAAAAAGCCCAACAAATGGATAAATTGGCCTACTTCTGAAATATATTTACAAAAGTTTGTTGCCATTATACAAATCTAGCATATTCTTTTTTGAATCATAACTATCTTTATAAGCCTTTAAATTCTTCATAGAGCAGACTATTTGTTGACCCTGAAGTTTTCCCTTTGATACTAATCTTCAGGATTAGTTGTTTTTTTTTTAAAGAGTTGGTTTTACTTGTTCCTTTTTCTCCATCAGCTAAAGACCTCCGGTTACTACTTCTGACTCAACGCCTCACTACCCCCGCACCTACACAGCGTGTAGCGAGTTTTCAGATTTGAAGCATACAAGGTGCTGAGTTCAGGAGCCATGCTCCCATCTCTGGGCAATGGGCTGACTAACCTTCTCATTCAAAGCCAGGATCATCATGAGTTTTCTGAAGAGAGTGACGAAGTCCAAGAAGAGGTCAATGCAGTGCCTGAAAGAGAAGCAATGACAGACTGCCCTTCCTCCTTTCCCTCCTTTCTGGTTAGAGGTGCAAACCAGAAAGCTCCCACCCATGAACTGGCTTCACCAACACCCCACCACCAACTAAGGAAGTAAATTGTGTCGGAAATCCCTTCAACTCAATGAAACCATGTATTGGGTTGGCCAAAAAAATCCGTTACGTTTATTCCATAAAAACAAGACACATTTTTCATTTTCACCAATAACTTTATCAATTTGGGTATTTTGAGTATGTAGCTATCTCCCACTACTGGCTTCTAGGGGTAGAGACCAGGGTGCTGCTAGACGTCTTCCAATGCATAAGACAGCCCCACAGCAAAGAGTTATTTGGCCAAAATGTGGATAGTACCAAGAAATTTCACAAAGCACTTTTGATGCGTTCAATCATTTTTACCTTTCTTGAAATAATAAAGCATAATCCACCAGAAATGTGTATTTTCTTCCATCTTCAATATTAAAACAGCTGCACAAAAATTCACCAATTTTGATTTTTTTTAATGCACGCTGACATGACAGCTGTCACAATACAATCTAACAAAATTGTTTCAAATGAAAACACAACTAAGCACTACTAGAGTCATCGTACAGAAAAAACTAAATGAGCTTTTTGGCCAACCCACAGCATAGAGAAAAGAGAAACTGGGCTTTAGACTCTGCAGAGGTCTAACTCTGAACCCTACCTGATCTACCTACCACTAACTGAGAGGATTTCAGCATGAAAAAATACATATATTTAAAAAATTGTATGTATATTTTCTAACTGTTAAAGACTTAAAGAACACAAAGGTATAAAGAATAAAAGGTGAAAAGTCCTTTTTCTTCTCCTTTGCCTACAGGTAACCATTATGAAAAGTATGGATACCATATTTTGCTGTGTATAATACACACTTTTTGCCCAAATTCTTAAGGGAAAATAAGGAAGGATATGTGCATTAGGTATGGGTAGTACCTAAAATACCTTGTATCTGGTTCTTGTGTTTTATAATTATCTGTTACATAAAATTTCTTATACCATAGCATGTTCAAAAATAAGTGCTAAAATTCCTTTATAATACAAAAAACAAGTATCTGAATATAAATAAATCATTGAATTTAAAAAATTGAAATAAAATATTATTTTCTTACTGAAAGTTCAGGCCAAAAACATGGGTGCTCATTATACACAGAAACACATTATACATGGCAAAATACGGTTTTAAATATATATTAGTAGTACCATTTTTAAAAATCTGATGTTCTTTGCCCTGGTTGGTGTAGCTCAGTAGATTGAGTGCTGGCCTGCAAACTGAAGGGTCACTGGTTCAATTCCCAATCGGGGCACATGCCTAGATTATGGGCCAGGTCCCCAGTTGGGGGCGTGCGAGAGGCAACTGATCCGTGTATTTCTAGCACATCAGTGTTTCTCTCCCTATCTTTCTCCCTCCCCTCCCCTCTCTATAAATAAATAAATAAAATCTTTAAAAACAAAAAAACACCTTGTTTTTCAGGAAGTGACAGAAACTATGCTATTTGGTGCTTAGTGCCAGAACCATGGGTCCTCCCCCACCCCCCACCCCGAGGCCTGAACACATTAAGTTCAGCTAGTGCTACCTGAGCTACTCTTACCCCCACCAACACAGACAGAAAGGTGGGCTAGGGAACGGACTGTCCCTGGGCTTCAGAAAAGAGTAGAGTGGAGTAGTAAGCCTCACTCTTCATTCCTGTTAAAGATCAGTTTTCACACTCACCAGATATAGTCCTTATCTCCATTTTCAGCCTTTTCAATAATGAGTTGAGTATCAAAAAGGACAAAGCCACACATGACCAGCAGCCCCAAGTACAGGTTTGCCTAACAGAAGAACGAGATGAGATCACCACACGGCACACGACATAGAGAGAAAAGCCACACTTCTCTCTGGTTCTTGGCCACTCGAAAGTACATCAAATGCTAACCCCACTGACACTGACGTTCATGGGAACTGAACCTATGGTGACAATCGCCTTACCTCTCTCAGCACAATTCTATACTGATTTCTTTTTTTTTTTTTTTAGTTACTAGAAGAGATCCAGTCATTTAAACCAGGAGCTGCTGCTGGACTGGCCTTAGAAAAATGATCTCCGGGCAAACCAGCTACTCCTTTAGTCTGGACTTTTACCCACAGAAGGCTCCATCCTAGGAGGATTAGTGGGGAAGCTTCAAGGGCACTGCCCAACAAAGGCAAGCATTCTGGAGGATTCTTGGTCTATCTTGCTTCAGGGTTAAGCAAGAAAAACAAGTGTGAGGCAAAGGGCCGCTGGAGAGCTGTATGCAAAGTCTCACCTGGAGAAGCCAAATGGATCCAAAGAACAGGTTCCCCAGGGAAGACAAAAGCATCAGACTCATGGCTGACATCAAGGTACCTGTAACAGGTGACAAAAAGCATCTTGAGAGAGGCCAAAGTAAAACAACCCTGCTATAGCCACTCTTTGTGTCCCCCATGAAAAGAAAGCTTCCCACTGCAACCCCACAGCCACAAGCGGTCGGGGTGAGGGGAACAGTCCGAGTGAGAATCCTGGCTACAGTGGAGACCCTCTCCGGGCTCTCCGGGCCACACTTACCCCCCAAAAAGAGGTAACTACGGCGCCTGGCGTAGAGCGCGCTGAGGGTGAAGCAGGTGAAGATCATCGCTGTGCCTATGAAGGCCGTGGGGAGGATGCTGTTAAGGAAAAGACTGTTAGACCGAGGACTACAGCAATACGGTCTGTGTTTAGAAGGTACATTCGTAAAGGTAGAGGGACTTAAGACACTACTGAAATAGTTACCTGGGGTTGATGTCAATGCACAACTCCAGAGCAGGGCCCAGGCCAACTCCTGGAAAACAAAGAGCCCAGAACACATCACTACGCTCGACTCTGGAAGAGAACCCTTGTCCAAAAGCTGATCATTAATAGCACGGGCAATGCTCCTGCTCCCAAAACAAACAAATGTGGACTAAAGTAAATCTCCCCATTCTCCTTGTTTTCAACAACACTTCAACGAAGTTATTTATTTATTCAGAGCTGCAAAATCGCCCTGTCAGCTGAATACCACTGACAACCCCCAGAAGGACAAATGACACAGGCTTGCCAGTTTGAGCTAAACCATTACTCTGAGGAGGAGTGATGTAATGTGGGCCAGCACAGGAATTAAAGGGTTAAGAGTAAAGCAGAGCCTTGTGGCCGGCAATCTCAAAGTCCGCAGGACTGGCTCTGCAGCAAAGCCAAAGCCAGACCAGTTCTGCGGGTGGTCTGTGCCAGCGAGAGGCCGCACGGCAACCTGTTCCGGCTACGGCACTTCCTCCACCCTGGTTCCTCTTTCTCCTTGGACTCCACCCTGTAATGCCTTTGGAAAATAGCATTTACTGATCTAAAAATCTTAATCTCTAAATCCCGCCATTCTTCAATTTCTTCAACATGGCGTAGATTAGACTCACTCAGACTGAGCTGTACTAAATCAAATGTTGCTTTACAAGTATTTTTACTGTGTAGCTTTAGTCTGGTTTTCTTTCATGACAACTTTAGAAGTGCTTTTATTAAAAAAATCATTATATTAAAAAAAATCACTTTATTTTTATTGTTGACACTATAAGAGATGCCCTCATATCCTCCCCACCACTGCCCCTCCACTGGCCTCCCCTTCCCACTGGCCGTCTGTCACTACACTGTTGTCTGTGTGTACATATCACACATAATGATCTTTTTGCTAATCCCCTCACCCTCTTTTATCCGGCTCCCTCTCCCCCGAGAGCTGTCAATCTCTACATATCCGTATCTGTTTCTATTCTGTTCATTAGGTTCTACATGTAAGTGAGATCATATAGTACTCGTCTTTCTCTGACTAACTTATTTCACTTAGCACAGTAATCTCCAGGCCCACCCATGCTGTGGCAAAAGGTTAAGATTTCCTCCTTTTTTATGGTCACACAGCAGTCCACTGTGTGAACGCACCACAGCTTTCGTATCTACTCATCTACTGACGGGCACTTGGGCTGCTTCCAGATCTTGGACATTGTAGACACTATTGTAGAAGTGCTGCGCTTTTCGTTTTGTTCTTGACAATCAGCAAAAGGCCCTGTGCGATGCATTTCAATGTATGGCTTTAATTAATTGCCTGCAGGTTTCAGAACAGATGGCTGATTCTACCACAGTTGCCAGTGTGAGTCCAACTAAGTTAGGTTCTTAGGCCTTGTTTAGTCCCATGTCTACCAGTAACAAGTTATCCTACCTAAGCTCTTAAACCTCACTCATTCGAGTACAAGAATGCTTATTTTTGGACACAAAAGTAATCACCAGTCACAAAGTGCTTATCCTCCATGTGGGGAAGTGACATGCACCTACACGAACTAAGAAAGCAGTACAAGGCAAAATACATTCAAATATAAAACTGGACGGTAAGTGTGCCAGTTGGGGTAAATCAGAATAAACACAAATCTCAGAACCTACTCTGAAGTGATATTAAAAAATACAGTCTTCACCCCCAGCCCCGCAAATTAGACCAATCCCTTAACACACCTGTAAGGAAAGCAAATCCAACAAGAAGCCCCAGTCTCTTCTGCTCGGTCTCGCGGCTGTGTGGTGTGGCCATCAGCCAGATCATCAATCCCAGGGAGCCCAGGGCAGACAGCAGGCCAGCCTGTCAGATCCAGAATCAGAACTGACTTTCAAATTTATCCTGCAGGAGACTTCATAGAGTCAAAGTCATCTGAACTGCCTAGTATTTGCTTCTAGCCTGGAGGCAGTGGAAGAGGCAGTGTGGGCTGAAGAGAGAAGCCAGAAGCCTTGAAGGACAGGGCCCTGGTGGACACCAGAGGCTGTTCTGGCCTGGGTGGTCCATGAATCACAACTACGCTAGTCAAACCTCAGGTTTTGCCCACGAAATAGGCAAAAATGAACCACAGGGACAAGTGCTGAAAATACATTCCAACCTGCAGAACAAGTAGAAATGTCCCCTTTGTGATCACTTTTAAATATACGCAAATACATATACAGAGAAAAAAGACTGAGAGAGGGTGTTAGAGACGACGTGTTTAAGTCCTACCCCCAAATATGATGGTGTTCAGAGGTAGGGTCTTTGGAACGTGATTAGGTCCTAAGGGTGGAGCCTTCAAGAAGGGATCAGTGCCCTTATCTTACAAAAAGGGAACCCCGAGAGCCCCGTTGTCCCTTTCACCATGTGAGGACACAGCAAGAACACGGCTGTTTACAACGAAACAGGAAGTGGACCCTCACCACACAACACATCTCCTGGAGCTTTGATCTTGGACTTCCTAGCTTCTAAAACTGTAAGAACACAGTTTGTTGTTACCCTGACCAGTGTGGCTCAGTTGGTTGGGCCTCATTCCACAGAGCAAAAGGTCATGGGTTTAATTTCCAGTCAGGGCACCTACCTGGGCTGGGGGTTCAATTCCTGGTTGGGGTGCATATAAGAGGCACCTGATCACTGTTTCTCTCCCTCTCCTTCTCCCTGCCTTCCCCTCTCTAAAATATAAATAAGTGATATCTTAAAAAACAATAGTAACTCTTTGTTATTTAAGCCAATGGTCCCCACCTTTTTGCCACCAGGGACCAGTTTCGTGGAAGACGGGGGTCAGGGGGAGCTCAGGTGGGGATTGGTGGGGGTGGTGGGGACACAGCAGGCAAAGCTCAGGCGAGCCTGGGGTTGGGGGCCGCTGGGGACCCGGCCCGTGACATTGTGTTGCAGCAGCCTGACAGGACTGAGACCAAGGGCTATCATCACAATGTGTGTAGCTACTTCTGGGTAATAGGGTTACAGTTTCATATCTACTTATCCTTAGTCTGTTATCTGAATTCTCGACAGTGAACATGCCTCAGTTTTGTAAGCAAAAAAAAAAAAGTCTTATAAAGCAAGTGGGAAAAAGCTATGGGCATTTAAAAAGAAAGAAACCCTTCAGGACATAGACACAGAAGTTCCTTCCATCCTTTAAAGGTATATAGTCCATTCTCGTGGGACATCGGTGATTAGGTTTTCATGAACCCCCCACTACAACATTTTCATCAACTGATCAACACATAACCTTTGATACATTCGTCAATTCATTCACAGTGAGCTCGCAGCCACAGCACTGTAACTCACGCCAGAACAAAGTTTACCTAACGCACATTCTCTCCATAACGACCCTTAGTCTTCTCACGATTAGGAACATTGAGAACACTTGAGCACTATGCTTGGAGCCATTTTAAACAGCAAAATTATCAACAAGAACGCCAAAAATGCAGCACTAAATGGACCATAAAAAGGACTACTGTTTATAGCTTGAGAGCTGGAAACACGGCCACATGTTGTCTTGTTCAACCTCAGCTGGAACATGGGTGCGATGGGCAACTCACATCTGCCTGCTGCTCTGGGTACAATGGCATGTCTGCAAAAGTACTGACCTCAGAGTTACAAACAGATTTTAGCAAGGAGGTATATTCACAAATACGAAATTCATAAATAATGAGGACGACTTTATTTTACATGACTTAAAAAGGCCACTCTGGCCTGAAAGGTAGAGTATATTTTAATCTAAATTCAAGGGATCGCCCTGGCTGGTGTGGCTCAGTGGACTGAGCGCCAGACTGCGAACCAAAAGGTCACCAGTTCCGTTCCCAGTCAGGGCACACACCTAGGTTGCGGGCCGGGTCCCCAGCTAGGGGTGTGTGAGAGGCAACTGATCCGACCAGTTATCTCTCTCAACACATTGATGTTTCTCTCCCTCTCTCCAAAAATAAGTAAAGTCTTAAATTCGAGGGATCGAAGTCCTATCCTCTGAGTATCTAGAGTAATTTTCCACACAATCCCTGCAAGGAAATGCCTGAGCACAGGGACAGCTCTCCACAGCGCCGATGCCCACCAGGCACGCCTCTGTACTTACACTACAGAGGACGCTCTACTAGGGACCAGTCTTGGCTAGTGAGAACTTTAAACTTACTGATTACTCCTCAACGGTCCCTTCTAATCCTGCTGAAGAAACCCAAACTCTCCCTCCTCATGGGAAATTAAGTTATTAGAGGGGTTTCACTCAACCATGCCGATGTAAGTGTACCAGAGACCCAAACAGGTCCAATCCCGAAAGGCTTCAACCCGCCCCTCCTGATAATTAATCACACAATCAGTGTTTCACATCCATGTACTGGAGTCATTTCTGTACATGCACATCCATGTACAGTCATTCACACAAAAAAGAGAAGCAGGAGGGAAAGAGAAAAAGGCTACTGTGGAGAACACCAGCATGCACGTTACGCCTCCGCTCGGTGGGCGGGGGTCTTGCACACCAGCGACACAGTTAAGAATTCCAAAGCTGAACATTTCAGCACCGAGAGAAGGCGGAGTCGCCAGAAAATTTAAAGAGCTCTACATGTCCTCAATATTCACTGGCTGGCTTTGGCTGAGTTCAGATGTTAAACTTCTCAAAAGGATTAAGGAGAGGTATAGGCTTGTACCACCCTGAGCTGGTTTCTTCCAATTATGAATTGTACAATAGCAACTAGGAGAAAAAACTGCTCTTACCTGAATGAAATGAGTGACCACATGGACATAGGCCCCCGCAGCTGCCACAAACATACATAGGGCAAAACTGGCGTAGACCTTCTTCAGGTGCTGCTGTGTCGAGGGGGTTCTGGGAAAGAACGTGAGTAACAGCCATCAAACTCATCCAGGGCCAATCCAAACTCATCTCAGCTAAGAATCATTTCCCTCTCTTCTCCTTCCCAGGGGTTACGTGAAAGTTATGTTACAATTTAAAAAGGAATGTTTTGAACATAGGTTGACTAACAGAGACTATTAAATGCTGGGGAAGAGCCCAAAATCCATAATTATGAACAATCTGCACCGAAACTAAAGTGGTGAAATGACTTTCCACTGACCACACAGCAGTCCCTAGAATCTGGTGCTTATTGTACCCTCAGAATTCTAGCAAAGTCAATGTCAGTCTATAGACACAAAATTTAACAAACCAGGAAAAGAAAACATATGAAAGGAAGAGCAGTAAGAAACTGTAGTCAAGGTCCACACACTTACATATGGGAAAATTTTAAGAGCGTGTCAAAGTTGATCTTCCGATCAAATATATTCATGATGCCAGAGTCTGTGGGATGCGGCCTTCACACTGTAGAATAAAGAGTAAAATGAAGAAAGGTTATTTTAAAGGTACTAACACAGACAAAAAAACAACTTTCTTATAAAAAATACAAGTTTGGAAAAATGAAAGTATTTACAATTCCACTGTTCTAACACAACCATTTTTATTTTTATGTATTTCCTTCTAGAATACACTTGTAATCATAATGAGCCATTTTAAAGGGGGACAGAAGAAATGACCCACCCTCTTCTCCCCTGAGGTATTTCATTACTGGAATTTAATTTCTATTCTTTTCAGAAGGCAATCTGCCCCTTTAAAAGACCATTTTCTGCCCTGGCTGGTAAGCTCAGTGGATTGAGCACTGGCCTGCAAACCAAATGGTCCTGGTTTGATTCTCAGTCAGGGCAGATGCCTGGGTTGCAGGCCAGGTCCTCAGTAGAGGGTGCTCAAGAGGCAACCACACATGGATATTTCTCTTCTCTCTCTTTCTCCCTCCCTTCCCCTGTCTAAAAATAAATAAAATCTTTAAAAATAAAATAAAAGACCACTTTCTCTGAGAAATTCTCAGTTAGCAATCTAGTTAAAGGAACCCAGTCACTGGAACAGAAAGAGATTTGATGTCACTGTTTCAAGATGCCACAGAACTCCCTCAGCAATGGTACAGAACTTCAAAGACTAAAAAGAAAAAAGAAAAACTATAAAGGTCTGCAATAGGACTTGCACTTTAAAAATATACCTGTAGAAACTTTCTACCGAATACATTTTAGAACTGAACTACAAAAAGAGATTCATAATTTTAAAAAGAGGAAAATTCCTACCTCCATGAAAAAGAAAATTGTGCAAAAAGACTTTTTTTTAAAACATAATTTCAGAACCTTTCCTACAAAAGACTTGGTGTAGTACAAAGAATTCCTCTATACCCATCACTGAGACTAAATTACTATTTCTCCGTATTTGCTTTATCCTCTCTCTACATATAGCAATATGTAGACTTTTTTTTGCCATGCAGATACAATGCCCCTTACCTATAAATACTTTAGAGTGTATATCCTAAAAATGATGATCAAAATCAGGAAATTAACGATGATACAATTCTATCATCTGATGTACAGACCTTACTCAGATCTTGCCAACTGTCCCAAAGGGCATTAAAAAAAAACCCCTAAACTATACCCAGATCTCATTACCCATCAATACCATAAAGTCAGGCTCTTAAGTTTTGCTCCCTTCCCTATCTCACATGCAACCCTAAACAAACATGCTCAATCTATAGAACTAAACATCTAATCAAGCTCTTTCACCTTTGCTAGGTATAAATCTTCCAGATTCTTATTAGAGACATAAGGCCCAATCCTCTTCAAATTTACCCAAAAAGGGGGGGGTGTGACACACTAAAACTACTCACACCCATTCTCATCAGCACTTAACCTAATACTCAGCAAAATTCATCTGGACAAGCAAACCAATTTCCTGAGGGATCCTGGGCCTGCGGAAAGATACCAGCCTTAGAGTTCAAAATTTTACCACTTGTTTCCTGAGGCTCTCTCACAAATGAAACAATTAAAACGGCCAGCTTGCTTTCTCTGATTTCCACTTTCCTTTCCCACTATTCCCACTCACCTTAATTCTTTTGTTAGTTCTGTTCTGAAGAACAGATATGTTAAGAAGAGGCAGAACCTACTAATGCTGATGCTCTCATCTCTAAGTCTCAGGGCTCCAGGTCCTCTTGACCCAGATGGTGCAATTATTGCAGGCTGTTGCGCTGCCAGCCACAGCCTTCCACAGCCATGATGAGTACATCCTCCAGAGAGTATGCTTACAGGATGGCAGAATCCAGCACCTGGAAAGTGTCTGTAAGGCTTCCATTAACGCCCCTAATGACATCCCTAGACAGAACTTGCAACAGCACTGAAGCAACCTTTAGAGCCAAGTTTCTCTGAATTCTCAACAACCTGAAGTATCTCTTGTTTCCAATGTCAAGAGTTAAAAAAGGAGGGGGTGGGAATAAATACTCAGATACCTAGGGGACTGACAGTCAGGGGCAACACTCTGTAACCAGACCCCACCAAGGAGAAACTTAGGAGGGGAGAGTGGCCGCAGCCCCTCAGTCACAGCTCGCTCTTTCACATTCCCTAGGGGGTCACGACTGCGCCTTTCCAGGGCTCTTACAAGTGCTGATGGAAAAGCCATCAAAGGTTGTGAGGGAAAGGAGGGAGCTGTCAAATAGGAATTTCTCCGTGATTTAATAGTGGCTTGTAGTTTAAAACCATAAAAAATAAAATAAAACCAGTTTTCCAACATTACTACCTATTTTAACATTTAAGTGAAAAATGTAACTACCAAAATTTCTAGATGTAAAGATACACAGCAATTTTAAAAAGCAATAGCTTTAAGGGGGAAAAAATAAGTGTAATACAGTATACAGATTTAAAACGACATGATATACATATCACATCTTTTCCGAAATGTTAAAAAAGTATGAGGGGGAAAAGTTGGTGTTAGAATCAAAGAAATACAACAATTTGCTCTAAGTCTGTACCAAACAGATAAGAACTAAGGTGCAGATAAGTAATGAGATAAAAGAAGTGTTCTTACCAAAAGTGCTCTCAGTCCCAGGAAGAGCATTTAAAACCATTGACCAAGTAGCTCAGCTAACATCCAGAGGGACCCCACAGTTAGTGAAAATCTTTGTTTTAAAAAAAGTATCTTAAAATGATAAAATATTAAAATTCCATTACGTGTATTTTACCACAATTAAGAAAAAATGTACATTACTTGTTGTTCAAAATTTCCTTAATGCACAGTCCCAACACACATCGAAGCCCATTACAAAACACCCCAGCATTGGTCTGCCTTACCCTGAATAATCTCAACTAGTACACAAGTCTAGAAATTCTATATTCAACTAATTGTAAAACAGGGAGGTGGGATTATTCACACAGAACACAATGAGGACAGTGCCTTCTGGACTCCTGGGAAATTTGCCCGCCCTACATTTATAAATGACAGGTAAATGTTCAGGTGTTAACTATAGCCAAATTCCTTTAATTTGGTCCAGAGCCTCATTTTAAGCCTTCATCATTCTTAGGAGAGCAAGAACCCCAAACTTGTCAGAATCTGTCCAAATCTGTCGTGCAGATACTGCTCAAGCAGTTGGAAGTGTCACCATTCTGTGGTTCCCCAGGTCAGCCGCCTCTGCCAGAACCACCCCAAAAAACAAACAAAAAAACAAAGGACTTCTCCCTTCAAAACCCCTCCTACTTAACACAGCTTTAATCAAGAAATGAAACACAAACAGGAGACATATGTACAGGCAGCAAAAGTATGTATTCACCAACCAAAATGCAACATTAATTGAAGTGAAAACTAAAGCAAAGGTCTGCAGTCGCCTAGATGTCCCTCAGGGATAGGAAAGTCATGCTTATCAGCCTTCCTCAGAAGAGACAATTCTGATAAACATCAGACCCATCTGACATGGTCTACTAAACCCTGAAGGAAGGATATAAAAGATAGGTCTTTCATTAATAAGCCTATCCTGTTGCCATTCCGGGTATTATCAACTATGCATGAGGAAACAGATATTCTTATCTATGTCTGAGGTCTTCTTAAATCCACTAATTTGTTCTAGGTCTCTTCCTTACCCTTGTCCTAAAATGAAAAGATTATTATAAAGGGCCAGGTCTTACATTAAAAACATTCTCTGCTATCTTATTGCAATACCTATTGAGTACAGTGCTTATGAATCATGGTCAAAAGCTATGCAGAATGGCCCTGACCTGACCAATGAGACTCAGTTTGTTGGGCACTGTCCCACAAAGTGAAAGGTCACAGTTCAATTTCCAGTCAGGGCACAGGCCTGGGTTCTGGGCCTGCTACCCTGATCCAGGTACACACAAGGGGCAACCAATGGATGTTTCTCTCTCATATCGATGTTTTTCTCCTTCTCTTTCTCCCTCCCTTTCCCTTTCTCTAAGAATAAATACATAAGATCTTTTCAAAGTTTAAAAAGAAAGCTGTGCAAAACAGAAACAATCATGCATTAAAAAAAAAAAAATCCTTGCCTTTGAAAAAGCCTGCTGACTGCTGGAGCCAGGAGAGCAGATGCCTCAAGCAGGTACAATTTAACATGACACCAGCAAGTCAAAGAAGCACTGCTCACACATCTAATTAAACATTTAGTTTGTGAACTGTGGTTCTTCATGCCCACTGTAGTAATCTGACCATCTTGAATTCTGATCCCTCACATCTGGAAGGGACCAAATTGATATTTAAAAGAGAAAAAAGAAATCCCATGTGTTTTGTTTTGTTTTTTTAAAGGAGGCAACAGGAGCATTTGTAATTTTTTAGTTCCTCCCACTGAATGGTTTTCAGAATCTGTACAGCCATGTCCTTAAACATAGTAGTTAAAAGCATAACCTGCTGCACTTGAGTCTGACCAGTACTTCCTTAGCTGTATGACATGCAAAAAATTTCTGGCACTTAGCCTCACTGTGCTTCAGTTACCTCATTTGTAAAGAGTAAATATACAGGGTCCAGCAGATGTCACATCTGCTTGAGTGTGGTTGGCAGGGTAATAATGTGGGTGTAACAGTTTATAGTTTTAATTTGAACATTTCACCTAAATGTCATATGGTATGCTTGAGTGTGTTATTGTTATGTAACAGAATTACATTTATGATTCTGTAATAAAAAAAGGGGTGTTACTTGTGCCAGACCCTGTATATTACCTACTTCACAGGGTTGAGGATTAAGTGATATAACACAAATAAAGTGCTTGGAATAGTGTTCATACATAAGACTGACTCAGTATGTTAACCATTCCTGTTACTAAAGTAAATACAATGGAACCTCAGTTCTTGAAAATTCATTCTAGAAAGCTGTCCAAGAAGTGACTTGTTTGAAAACCGAATCTCCTTAAAAAAAAAAAAAGATTGTATTTATTTATTTTTTAGAAAGAGAGGAAGGGAGGGTGAAAGAAAAGGGAGAGAAATGTCAATTGTGGTTGCCTCTCGCATGCCCCCCACTGGGGACCTGGCCTGTAACCCAGGCATGTGCTCTGACTGGGAATCGACACGTGCACTTTGGTTCACAGGCTAGTGCTCAGTCCACTGAGCCATTCCAGCCAGGGCCAAATCTCCTTTTTTAGTCACCTGAGAGACACATGACTGATCATACAGGTATCAATAATGAAAGGACAATTAAGTACAGAATCAAGACCCAAAGTTCTGTTAGACAACCAAGACATTTTTTCCATGAATAACTTGGTCGAGGACCAAAATGGTCGAGGACCAAAATGTTCAAGAACTGAAATTTGACTGTACTCATTACTCTCAAGTCCTCGGTGTATACTTATCCCTTTTTAAAGCCTAGTTTTAGGTCCTGGCTGGTGTAGCTCAGTGGATTGAACATTGGCTGCAAACCGAAGTGTCACCAGTTCGATTCCCAGTCAGGGCACATGCCTGGGTTTTGGGCCAGGTCCCCAGGAGGGGGCATGTGATAGGAACCACACATTGATGTTTCTCTCCCTCTCTTTGTCCCACCCTTCCCCTCTTTCTAAAAATAAACAAAATCTAAAAAAAAAGTTGGTCTATTTGCTTTAAGAAATTCCACTTCAACTAGGACTGGACTTTGCTTGCTCTAGATCTTCATCATACATGTCTCAGCTGCACCACCCCCCCTATCCAATTTGGGCCAAAATCCCTGGATTAGCTAACACTGAATCCTGTCTCTCTAGGGGACTGCCTCAGAACCATACCAGTGCTTGGAGTTGAAATGCCTATTGCCCTCAATATATTATTTTTTTGTACCAAATTTTGACACAACTAAATCTCCCTCTCTATGACCACAACTGTTGACAGACACTTAATCATAAGAAAGCCCCAATGTCCTAAATACATAATCATCTTCTAATATAAACTAGTAATCCCCCCCCAGTTAACACCATATTTAGCCCAAATGAAAGCAGGCATAGATTAGGACAAACTGCACCTACAATCCTCACCCATGAAGCTCTTTTTTCAATTGTTTTAGATTCTAGTTAATTGTAACAAAACTTCTCTCACACATTTGGTTTTAAGCATATTCAGAGCAGAGCTTGCATATGAATCAGGCTGCAAGCCCCCACACTTCAAGGCCCAACCAAGGGTCTCCTGACCCTAATGGGATGTAAATATACATCCCATTGTCTATCTGATCAAAGATGTTATAATTTTTTTGGGGGGGAGGGTATAAGGGGATTAAGTGATAAAGGAAAAAATACGATAAAAATTAATTTTTTTTAAAAAAAGAACGTTATAACCTCAAATCAACATTCCCCAGCTGGCTGAGAGGGAGACCTGCCTTGAGCGGTCAACTTAAGTGTTCCTAACAGCCAGCCTAACCTCTACAGTCCTCTCCTTGGTTTGAATGTCTTTGGAAAATGAAAATGTGCATAAAAACCATTCCATGAAATCTGATTAGAAGCTCTGGGGGAACAAAACACAGTTGAGTGGAAGACATTTCCACCAGCTTCTACAACCAAGTCAAAGTAGCAAAGGATAATTTAGAAGATTGAGCATCAAGGGAATATTCAGTGTCTTCCCAGGAGAGATTAATACTCTTGTGGTAGTTTATGAAATAAAGTGAAACTCTTCAGGCCAGCAACAGCATCTCCTATAATTCCACTGACTCCATTTATATAAAATTTTATAACTTTCATATACAGTGTTTTATATACATTATCCCCTTTGATCTTCACACCAATAGATGAGGGAAGAGCAAGAATATTTAGTCCCACTTTAAAGATTAAAAACAAAGTTCAAAAAGGCAGTGTAATAGTGGCACAAACACTGGATTTAGTCACAAGTCCTACTATTTTCTAACACATAACTTTAGGAAAATCATTTTACCTATGGTCCTCTAGGTTTCCTCACTGGTAACATAAGGATAAGGAATACCCGCTCTACCAAGCTTATTGAACGCCAATAAGAATCTGTGTGAAATCCTTCTAAAGTGAAAAATGGACATTAGTATCAACTAGACCAACATCAGAAGTCAAAAATATGCAAACAGCAGAGCCAGAATCAGGTTAGGAGTCTTCTGACCTCTGAAGTGCGGTGCCCTTTCTACTAGTACACCCTACAGTAGAAAATCAAGTCATTAAGTTCCACCCATAGATCAAGGGAAATCGTTTTTTAAGTTAACTTATGCTGATTCCTATTACACTTTCTGTATTTTTGGGCATTTCTACGATAAGCATGAACTATATCCATAACAGGAAAAACTACAGAAATGCTGGCTATATGGGTTAATTTTGTCTTTCCTACTGTTTAGGAGCAAGGCTTCAGTCACATCAACAGTAGAGAAGGAAAGAAAGCAGGTACTAAGCCATGTTTCCACAACAAGATGCATAATTTAAGAAGGAAACTGAATCTAAATTACAAATTGCATTTCTCAAGAATTGAACTATTCTGTCCCCCGCCGGAAAACTGCAGAACCTAAACTTCAACACAGTAATATTCAAAAGAGGAATAAGAAAACATCAAAGAAAGTAGATTTAATTATTACAGAAGTAAGTGCGTTTACAAAAGCCATAAGAAATGTGGTGGTGCGAATAGAAAAACCTGTCTTCAACTGAATTCTTAAACTGCACATTCTACCAAAAGATAAAACAAAAATAAATAAGTAACTAGAAAAGCCTATTCTCCATTAACCTTTAACCTTAAAAAATCCTTGTGTTTCAGGCACAGTCAGCTCTTCTACTGGGTTACACATTCATAAGTTAACTATTGTTAAAACAGTGTCTCAAGTTCAGAGAGGTTTTTGCCCTTGTTTCGGATGGGCAACGCAACCGGGGCTGGCACAGAATAGCAATTCCACACTTACTACACAAAAATACCACAGCCTAATTATCACAACTTCAGCAAGCAGGCTCCAGGGGAAGGGGGGGGGGGGAAGCCTAATGCCACCGCCTTTCCCAATCGGACTTTGAGAAAGTCGCCCACAAGGTTCAGGACTAAATATAACCAGGCCACCTCACCTGTCGAAGGTAACCAATCAAACCAGAGCGGGGCTGCCCTGTAGGACTGGATAGCCAAGCCAAGCCCAGTCTCTCCACACCTCCCGCTTCTGCTGTTGGCTTGCACGTAACTGAGGAGCCTCGCGTGTCACAGAGTGTGACATCACCCGCCCCGCCGTGACAGGGCGGCTTGCCTGACCAGGCCCTTCACCAGACCCGGCCTCAGGCACTCACCCGGAGGCTCCGAGGCGGAACAGTGATCGGTCAGGTCCCGCAGGGGTGCACAAACCCGAGAGGTTTCGCTTTCATTCCCCTCGGAAGGAAGGGGTGGGGGACGTGCCCTAAATTCCAGATGGGCCTGGGCCAGGGAGCCCCTGCATCTATTCTCGGTGGAGCAAGAGGGTCGCAGATTGGGAGTAAGGGGGGGGGGGGGAGAAGCTAAAAAGGGTCTTCACTAGCGCTCCCGCGAAGAGTGGGTGCCTGAACGCCCCACAAAACCGGGCTGACTTGCTCCCCCGCCCCCACCCCAGGCTGCTGTATAGCTGCGCGTGCGCAGTATCAGTTCCTCGTTTCCCTTCCCCGCCCAGCCCTCCGGAGTCCGTAGCAGAGGGGCTTTTCTCACGGGGTCCAGTCTGTCCGGAAATGGAGACGACTCCCAACCTCGTCCACACAATAAGTAGTAACCCCCTTTCGTTCTCCATTGCCGGCTTGCGCAATCCTAGTTTCACACGTACCTTCTCAATCGCCTCTTCGGAGCCCACAAAGCTCTTTAAACACCGGATATGCTTCTGACTCTTCCAAGGTCCGCTTCAGACTCTTTATCCTGAGTCCGCCCCTCCAAGGAAGCCCCGCCCCCGGTCATTTTAAGGCCATCCCTCATTGGCCGTTGGCTGCCCGTCCGCCCTTCCTTTGACTGTATATCTATAAACTTGGGCAGCTCACTTCAGAGCCATTCGCTAATGTCTTTGTCAATCAAGTCCCTAGCCAACAACCGGCGTTGTAGAAAAGGTCTCCGCGTTGTTCACCTATAGTAAGGATGGATTGCTGTCCAAGGATGGATGGGCTGGCTGTAGTGAAGGAAGTGGAGAAGGGCAGGACCCACGCAAGACACAGACCTGGCCAAATAATGGAACCCTTATGACGCGTGATGGAATAGCGCTGTAAAGTCCGAGAATTCTAGTTTCAGGCTTTTTATGAAATGTTAAAGAAGGAAAAAGATTCAGAAAACTACTCTCACAAAAGCCAACTTGCTGTGAATCTAGTGGAGCTTAAACTACAGAGCATCTTTGAATCCACAGGCCTAATAAAATGGTTGTTTTATACCACCAAATTTGGAGTCTCGTAGATAACTGAAATAGTGTTCTTTCCACAAAACAATAAGAGACCCCCCAAAAAAAAGAGAAACCAAAATCAACATAAGTATGGACAAAGGGTGTAAATAGGCAATTCACTGCCTATTGGCCCAAGGGCCAATAAACATGAAAAAATTCTCACTAGTAACTAGAAAAATACAAATTGAAACAACAGTATAGCATTTCACACAGGATTGGCGAAATCAAAAAGTCTGACAACTCCAGTATTGGTGAAGAAGTGGAAAAACAGGAAATCATACTCTATTGGTGTAATGAAAAACTGGCATAAACACTTTGCATAGCAATTTAACAAGTTAAAATGAACATACCCTCATATTTTATAGGTATGTATTTTCATACATATGTATGAGAATATAATCCTAGCTAAGTAGCTCAGTTGATTAGAGCATGGTCCTGATACACCAAGGTTGCTGGGTTGATCCCCGGTCAGGGCAGAAAATATATACCCAAGGCTGTTCGTTGCAGCATTTTTGGAAATAATAAATTAGAAGCATGATATATTTATACCATATTTTCTCAATAGGGGCAAAGTCAACAAGGATAACAGGAAAATTGGTTTTTAGAGGTACCAAAAATTTTACATGTGGTTTGTAGTAGTGACCCTCCAAACCTTATTCCTTAGTTTTTAATTTCTCTTGTTGGGAGAAATTAACATTGTAATTCATTTAAGAACTTGAAATTACTTATATTTTTCTCCCTGGGGAAGATAATAAAAGAAAGGTTGAGGAACAGATTTATACAATGAAAAACCATACAGCAGAGGTAATGGATTTACATGTATTAACACAGACACAGCCTCTTTTTTAATCTTCACCCAAGGATATGTTTATTGATTTTTTTTGAGAGGAAGAGCGGAAGAGAGATAGAGACAGAGAAAAAAACATTAATCAGTGGCCTCTGGTATATGCCCCGACAGGGATCAAACCTACAATCTAAGTATGTGCCCTGACTGGGAATCAAATCAGCAACCTTTAATAAAAAAAGAAAGACATTTTTATTATTTTTTAAAATATTTATTTATTTATTTTTAGAAAGAGGGGAATGGAGGAGGAGAGGGAGAGAAACATCAATGTGTGGTTGTCTCTCCCACGGCCCACACCAGGGCCCGGGCCTGCAACCCAGGTGTGCACCTGGACTGGGAATTGAATCAGCAACCCTTTGGTTTGCGGGCTGACACTCAATCCATTGAGCCACACCAGCCAGGGCAATGTCATCAGTCCTGTATTTTTTTTTAAATACACTGAGGATATGTTTATTGACTTGAGAGAGAGAGAGAAAAACAAAAAGAGAAAAACATCAATGTGAGAAACATCATTCAGTTGCCTCCTGGCTCAACTGGGAATGACACCTGCAACCCACCAGGGGAATCAAACCCTCAACCTTTTGGTGTACAGGATGTCACTCCAAGCAACTGAACAACCTAGTCAGGGGACCACCTGGCCAGGACTGTTGGTTGATATTTTATGTGCCCTGGCTAGAGATCAAACCCACAACCTTGGTGTATCTATCAGGGCAACACTCTAATCAACTCGAAGTAATGGTAACTTTAAATTGCTGGTTGTAATTGGTTTTCTAGGCTTATTTGCATATTTTATTGTGATCATCTATATAAAGTAATCTCTTATTTTAGAATATCTTTAGTTTCATTTTATCACATCAAGTAGTCTTGAATTCTTTTCCCTTTACAAAGATTTCAGCATGAGGACAAATCAATTTTCTTCCTCCTCCTGAGTCTCAAGTAGGAAAGGCAATGTCATCAGTCCTGTATCAGGATTAGACATTTGGAGAATTCTAACCAGTTTAGGTGAAGGAAGGGAGTTCATGCTTGTTACTACTTTCTTTGGCTGTGCTGACTCAGCACTACCTGGCTCTCCACTCTCTGACTGTTCTGTCTCCACCTTTCCTCTGGATTCCTCCATATCTATCGATATCTCTTACTCCAGGTTAAAACACGGAGTTATTCTCCACTCTTCTCTCTTTTCTTTTTTTTAATTTATTTTATTTTTTCAAGATTTGTATTTATTTATTTTTAGAGGGGGAATGGGGAGAAGGGAGGGAGAAAGAGACAGAAACAGATGTGTGGTTGCTTCTCGTGCGCCCCCTACTGGGGAATCTGGCCTGCAACCCAGGAATGTGCCCTACACTGAGAATCCAACCGCGTTCCTTTGATTCACAGGCCAGCACTCAATAAACTGAGCTTGACCCACACCAGCCAGGGCTCTCTTTTCTTTTTTCAACATGTATTTGACAGTTCCCTAAGATTCTATGTTAAACATTAGATAGGCATTTGTGTAAAGAAGCATGGCCCCAGGTTTATGAACATTTCTCTCTAATGAGGAAGACAGACCTCAAGCAATCACATAAATGAATATATACAAAGTGAGCATATGGTTTGTTTTTCTTCCCAGTCCAAGTGTCTCTGCTTTACTTTTTTAAGTAACCTTATTTAAGTATAATTAATATATAATATCCCTGGCTGGTATAGCTCAGTGAACTGAGTGTAGGCCTGGGAACCAAAGCGTCACTGGTTCGGGTCCCAGTCAGGGCACATGCCTGGGTTGCAGGCCAGGTCCCCAGTAGGTGGTGCGAGAGGCAACCGCACATGGATGTTTCTGTCCCTCTCTTTCTCCCTCCCTTCTCCTCTCTCTAAAAATAAATAAATAAAATATTTTAAAAAACATATAATAAACTGCACATATATAAAATGTACAGTTTCACAAGTTTTGTCATAAAACTATCACTAAATTCAAGATAATGAATATATCATTAACCCCTCAAACTTCCTCATGCCCCCTTGTAATTTCTCTCATCCTCTCTTATCCCGAGGCAAACACAGACCTGATTGCCATCACCATAGATTAGTTTGAATTCTCTAGAATTTTATGAAGTGGAATTGTACAGTATTTACTCTTTTTTTACAAAAAAAATATTTATTTTCAAAGAGAGGGAAAGGGAGAGAGAAAGAGAGGGAGAGAAACATCGATGTGCAAGAGAAACATCAGTTGGTTGCCTCTCACATGCCCCCAACCAGGGACCTGGCCTGCAACCCAGCCATGTGCCCTAAGTGGGAATAGAACCGCAGACCTTTTGATTCACAGGTCCAGTGTTCCATCCACTGACGACACCGGCCTGGGCCGTGTGCACTCTTGTTCTTTGTGTTTGGCCTCTTTTACTCAGCACAGAATTGATATGTATTTATTGTTGTGGTATCATAGTTCATTCCTTTTTATTTCTGAGGAGTATCCCATAGTGTAGATTGCCAATATTTGTTTATTTATTAACCTGGTGGTGAACTTTGGGATTGTTTTCCATTTTTTTCTACTATAAACAAAGTACTAAGAACATTTATGCCCGTGTTTCCTTCGTGTGCCCGCATTTTCTTCGGGGTAAATATCTAAGCGTAGAATGACTGAATCATATGGTAGGTATATATTTAACTCTTAAAGAAATTGCCCAACTGTGTTCCAAAGTGGTTTACCACTCCCGCCGGTAGTATATGAGAGGTCCAGGTTCTCCACGTCCTCACCGACACCCAGACCAGACATTTTTCACTGTAGGTGTGTAGTGGTATCTCACTGTGGTCTTAATTTGCAATTCCCTAATGACTAATGACATTGAATGTCTCTTCATGTGTTTATTTATCATCTACATATCTTCTTCAGTAAACTCTCTGTTCACATATTTTGCCCATTTTTTATCTGGTTGCTTGGTTTCTTATTATTGAATTTTGAGAGTTGTATACATGTCTGGATACAGGTCCTTTGTCAGCCTCAGATGGGATGGCTCAGTGAATTGAGTGCTGGCCTACAAACCGAAAAGGTTGCTGGCTCGATTCCCAGTCAGGGCACATGTTTAGGTTGTGGGTCAGGTCCCTAGTTGGGGAATCAATGTACCTCTTGCACATCAGTGTTTCTCTTCCTCTCTTTCTCCCTCCCTTCCCTTCTCTCTGAAAATAAATAAATGAATAAATATTTTTAAAGTCCTTTATCAGATACATGATTTGCATGTTAAAATATATATGCAAATATTACATTACATATAAAATTTTCTCCTGGTTGGTGGCTTGTTTTTAGTTCTTTGAACAATGCTTCTCAAAGAGTATTAATTTTTAATTTTGGTGAAGTCCAATACACCAATTTTTTTAAAGGTCTGTGTTTTTAGAATCATAGCTAAGAAATTTTGTTTCACCCAGGTCATGGAAAAGGGCAAAGTGTATCCTGAAGGAGTAGACTAAAGGGACCAAGACCAAGGACTTTGTCCCTTGTCTTTTAGGCACCAGGGAGCTGGACAAGGGGGTTGGCACTGGACAGGGCACTGGACAAGGAAGAGACCCAGTTGCAGATGATAAGACACTGGGTCACTTTCAGACAAGTGGAGTGGCAAATATGGTTAATTAGCATTTGGCATACATTCCCATCCCCTTCCAGCATGCTTTGCTATATTGCAGAGGCTGGAAAGCTAAGGATTATT